GAAAAATCAAAAGCCATGAAATTGTGATCAAATTCTCGTACTACAAAATACTCGTCTAGATATACCCGAGCGAAGCGAGTTTAAGTCGCAAATTTTTAATGGAAAGAAGTTATTTATTTAATATTAGTACAATAAGTGTTACTTCGATAATATGTATATATACGGGCGTAGACACAGACGAGTTAGATCACGTATGTAAATAAGATGTTAGATTAGCTTATAAGTCAACCTATCTAAGGTTAATTTATTTTAAAACATATAACAAAGCAAAGTTATCGACAAATCGACATTGTCTAAGTAATATAGAGTTTTAAATTCCCAACCTTAGTTTTCAGAAGTTTGCCTTTGCCTCGCTCGGGCGGCCACTTAGGTTTCAACTGATTTTTACGTTTTTTACGCTTACTTACTTTTACTTAACAGTTTTAAAATATAGCTATGGTTACTGACGATATGATGCTCTTATGGCGTAATATCGTATTCGATTTCTGATGAATTCAATATTTTTCTTTTTAATGAAATCAAACGTGCAAAATATTATTAATTGCTTCATTAAATATGATTTTTTATTAGAATTTATATTTTCATATTAAAATAATTGACACAAATATCAACTATACATACATACATGCTGATAAGTGTATGCGTTATATATAGATATTGTTACTTTCTGTGAGTTCGAGAATCGGAAATTGAAGCACGTCTTTTGCACTACGAATGTTTTGTCCCCTTCTTACACACGGCATTTTATAATTAACTGTTCTTGTCCGTTAATTGTCATGTGTTGACAACTGTCTTAAGATGTATAAAGCATGCTCCAGGCGTACCATTTCTACAAGCTTTTATTTAACTTGCAATGTTTGCTTGTATGATTGTTTAAGTCAAACCTTACAACTAAATTTTAGAGTAATGATGCTCAACCGATTGAGCTGAAATTTTTCATATATGTTTAGTTTAGATGACAACACACGGTTAGATAAGTGACGACATTCTAAATCCAACATAGCGGACTCCCAACGATAGCGGAATATAGTTTTTTTATACACCCCCATGATATGGATATAAAATAAAAAGGTTTGCTGAGAAGAATACGAATAAATACATAAAAAATAAAAAAAATAAACTTAAAATTAAATAACATTCATTTATCACACAATTTTTATAATATAAGAGCTTGTTTTAATTATTATTTTTGGTGTAATGATGTTACAGACTCTCCACTCTGCGACAATATAAAGATATGAGTGTATTAAGAATCGGTTACATATTACGCAATTTCACTACCAACATAAAAATGTAATGTAGGAAAATAGCAAAATGTCCGCATTAAATATACAACATGTCAAATAAAATTGTCAAGCAAAGGGTCGATGTGTTAATCATATATCTTTAAATAAAAAAAAGTGTTATAAAGGTAGGCGTGTGCTTTCACTTGTAAGTCGCAGGTGATAAGTCATTTTTTAATAAAACGTGATATTCTAATTAATTAAGCACGCATTACGTAAATTAATATTATCTATACTACTACAGAACTCACAGTTCGACACAGAGTAGTTAAGTTGTAGAAGATTTAATGCAAGATTTAGTTTACTTTTAGTCTATCTTAATAACTTCTGTTTTTAGTTATATGTATATGTATGTAAATACGAGTTTGTTATACTTATTAATGTTTTGTGTAGATTTCTCAAAGATGAAATATTTGCCCGCAGTAAAAAGTATTTTTTAAGTTGACCCGGATAACCAGCATCATGATACCAAATTTTATCGAAATCTGTGCAGTGGTTTTTTGTGATGCGTTCCCAGACAGACAGACAGAAAAAAATTCTAAAAACTATAGATTCGATCTTTGTATCGATAATAATGACTATTTCTAGATTTTCCAAAAAAATATTTAATGTACAGATTCGACTCAGAATGTTATTCTATGTATCGTTTAAATAATTTCTCCTTTAGAAACCCGTAGCCCGTAGTCCTGAACTGAAGTATTATTATGTTATTAAATCTTTTATACTTATCCATACTAATCTATAGTAATATTGTAAAGAGGTAAAGTTTGTGAGATTGTGAGTTTGTGACGTTGTAGGGGGTAATATCTGGATCTACGGAACCGATTTAGGTGAAATTTGGTAAGAAGATAGTTTGAGATCCTGGGAAGGACACAGGATACTTTTAATCCCGGAAATCATCCCTTAACAGGGGGAAAATGGGGATGAAAGTTTGTATTGGGAAGCAAGCTAGGGACGAAGTGAGGCGCTAGTATTGCATGTATACGAAAGTGTAACATTTACATGTACAGAGTACCTACTCTGTACGCACTCAAGTACCTCAAATGGTCATATACTTTTCTGCATGACTCATAAAATATTTATCATTCGAAAAGCAGTCTCTACACACAACAATCTATGGCCAGTTAATTATACTAATTAGAAACAAGTTTTTGTACATTCCGTAGTAACTCGATCCGGCAGATAAGTATAAAGGGGCCGGCGATCGGCGAGATAAAGAGCCGTCTGATTGGTGATGCATTATATTTGTTGATGTTGGTGTACGGTGCCGAGAGTTAGATACTCGCTTTTCTTGCTGAGAATGAATAAATGGCCAAAAACCAAACTGTTTATATGTGGTCGACTGTACTATGAATTAAGTGATAGAGTTAGTGAGTTGTCAATTTGATTTTTGACTATGTACCTATATATAAGACGGTTTATTTTAAGGTTTTGCGGTTAGATTAATTTATTATCTATTAATTTGACGACACGTTTGGCTCAGTTTGTAGTGACCCTACGTGCTGTGCCAGCGGTCGCGGGTTCGAGTCCCGCTGGGTGCATACATTTGTGTGATGAGGACGAATGTTTGTACTCCAGTCATGGGTGTTTATATTTATAATATGTATGTATTTAAAGTTATATATGTGTAGTGTATCAACTACATATTTGGTATCCATAACACAAGCCTCGTAGCTTACGATGGAACTAGATGGTGCTGTGTGTTAATGTCCCAACATATTTACTTTGATTTATTTATTTGTCGATAGAGTAAAAACATTTAGTTTTTAAGTATTATTTTATACTGAGACGAACAGCCCTCATATTGGTGACGTTGGTATACTGTGAGCCGAGAGTTGAGATACTCAGTTTTATTTCTGAAAATTAATATAAATTGCCAAAAACAAAGTTGTTTATAGATATGTGGTCGACTGTACTGCGTATCTTGACTTTTATCAATTTGATATCTGATATCTGGTTTTTGAATTATTACTTGTAGGGATTTTGAGCTAGTTCAACTTATTTGTGATGGCGGATAACTTAATCCCTCTACGACCGCGAACACGCCGGCGTGTCAGTTAACAATAGATTTCTTATAATTTTAATTATTTTCTTAGAAATTTAACTGGAGGTGTTAAGTACTTTATATGTATACCTACATATATATGTATAAGTAAAGCTTTGACCAGATATAAAAGGATCGATTTTAAGTTTTATAGGTTTAGCTTTCCCATATCTATTAATTTATCTTTAAAATGGCTTCTAACATTTTATGTTTGAAAATTAATATTAATAATTAATAACTAAGCTTAAAACACTTTTAAAATACGAAGGTATCTCATCACGATCAAATTTTTAGCATAAAATCTAGACAGTTGCACTCCTCACGTATAGTTAATTATAATTTTAATAAAAAATCAACGGCTATCAGATACTTACAAGCTTCTGAATAGGTTCATGCAATTCCAACTTACCATTCTCAATTATTCATATCTTCGATGTGAAATCAATTCACGCTCATGCAATGGAAAATGAACTTTAACTATAAATATTTAAATCTCTATATAGTTTATACTGTATTTTAAATCGCCGCAAACCTCACTATGTTCGAACTACGGCTTTATCGTGGATATAAATTCAGACGAGATGTTATTACAGTAGGGTATTTTTACTTTTGTTAATAATTTTGCTACGTATTGATATATATATTTGTATTTCAAACGCGATGTAAAATTGTTATTCTCGTTCATAAAATTATTGTTTTTTTTATTTATAATTTTTTTAAAGGTATTGAAGATTTATATAAGTTATGGTAGAAAGACTTACACTAAATAGTTGTCTATTGCAAATAAATGCAGTTTTAAGCTATTACATAATAGTATTAGTACATAGTAGAGATGGACCGACTATTAGTTTTGCCGACTTTCCGACTAGCCGACTGGTTGGTTGGAAAAATACCGACTCATCGGCTGACTAGTCGGTTCTTGCCTCTGATTAAAATTGTGATTCAAAAATAAATAATAAACAGGAGATTACATAATTATGTTCTTTGTTCAGAGTTGTAGAAACTTGCGTTCAAAATTTATTTTTTTGTTAATCTTAGTCATATAAGTTTTAAATCTTGTATTCCTTCCTTCGTTCCTATTCCTATATTATATTTCCAATTGTAAAACTGATACCAAAAAATATAAATAATAATTACTAATAGACTAGTCGGTACTTTTTGCCGACTAGTCGTCGAATATAAATATGGGCGGATTGTCGGCTTTCCCGACAAATCGACCATTAGTCGGTATATCTCTAGTACATATACTAAAAGTATTACATAAATAGCGTATTTAAATATTTCGTTTAGTTATCCCTATTATTTGACAAAGTAAAAGCTACTATTTGAAGAATCTTGTAGTGAATTTTCGATTGTTGAATGTTCGTTATAGCAATATTAGATAAGTTTTTCTTCAATGTATCGGTAATAGAAAAAATCATTATATAATATTTAATATTTTATAATATTATTATTTTATATGTACCTATAAAAACAATGAAACGAAAACTATACTTCAACATATACAAAACAAATGCACGGCAAATAATGACACTGTACAAGTAATAATATTTAATACATTTTAATTTTATGTTTAAGATTTTATTACCATACATACATTTCCATACATAAATTTGTTATTATAAGCATGTGTACAATAATAAATAAACATAGCTCGACACAACCTGGCCTTAATGTCCGCGGTCGGTACTCACCGACTTTTCATGTTAGTCGACTACCACTACGCATTCGCTTTGACTAGATTCAAAGTGAGTCTTCAATTTAGGCGACCCTTAGATTCATTGTACCCCACTTCCAGAGGGGAATATCAAAGTCATTCGATTGGGACTTGAAAAGATCAAATACATGTCCCTACATTTGAGTACCTGTGACTTTTATAATGCGATCGTTATTTGATTTATTTATAATATCAAGCTCTCGCCGAAACACATCTCTATTGCTTTCCTTATCCTACTACAAAGTAAGCACCAATAGAAGAATATATTATAAATATTTTATTGTTCCAATTATTTATCGACTTTTAAATAGTTTTTTTTTCATTTCTCAACTCAATTAGAAATAAAGATGTTTGTATGTAACCATTTACAACTATATAGAGCTATAACATAGCGGTACCAAACAAAAAGTGTGTTTCATCGTGCTCCCATGACCTGCACGCAACATCTCTGTCAAATAACAAACAACTTCCCGACAGACTGACATACGGCCTCGACTACCGTTCGGATGCTAACATGCTGGGTGGCATAAGAGCCGGCTATCAACCGATCTCACTTCATTACTCCATCCCATCGATCATTATCAAGGCACGAAGGCCAACTATTTGTACTATGCAACAATAGATGGCGCTCTCTTAACACAATTCAGCAAAATCATCTACCAATTAGCGTTCACCTCTTTCACTCGTGCGGGAAAGTAGCTCTCAATGAGACGCTACAGCTTTCAAAGAACGTGAGCCTTGATTGTAATTGATGATGCGATTGTCTAATGCCGCCTTGAGGTCAATAAATTTCTATAACCAGTGTTTTCTTTGCAGGTCACCACACGCCGCGTCGAAAGTGTATTGGGGAGAAACCTATCTATAAAAACTAATAAATCAAATAATTTTATTAAAAAAAAACTTTACTTTTTAGTATTATTAAACAAATTTTAGCCTTCATTATAACAAATAAGAGTTCCTAAATAAGATACATAGCATTATAAAGTTTATTTCCAAAAAATTCATGTGCACGACTGCATACGTGTGCTAGGGGGTTAGGGTGCTGTTAGGGTGCTAAAGGTAGGGTATTAGGGTGCAGCGTGGCGCTGCACGGGGGGTGGGGGCGGGCGCCGGCGCCCGCGCACGCCGCCACCACGCTGGTGGGCGGGCTGGTGGCGCCGCCGCGGGAACCTACCACGGCGGCAGAAGCCTTCTGGAAGATGCCACACAAAGGTTAGTTACTATTATTTTAAATAAATAATATTTGTTGTAATAATATTATCTTAGATTACTGTGAATATTTGAAATAATAAATATGTGAATTAATCCAACTATCTGTTCAGCTTCCAGTTCTATGGTCCTTTTTTAAATTGTACAGATTGTAATACTACCAACGAAAATTAATTAACATTTAATTATATAACTTATTAAGTTATTTCGGTGCCATTTCTCTATTTCTTTAAAATTAATTTATAATTTTGTGGATCGATACCGTCTGTAACTACTAATATTATATTATAATTAATTAACCTTTGAGACGTCTAAAACCTTAGTTTCTCCCACGACGTTTGTTGTAGAGCATTGGAAACGTTAGTTACGAAAATAAAAAAAAATCTGAAAGATAGTTTCATTAAAACGTTAATTATTATTTAATTGCAATCGCAAAACAATACGTAGTATTTCATTTTGCTTTTTACGTAAAAAGCAAAATGCGACGAGTGCGTCTTTTTGATTTTTTTTCTGAGCAGAACCCTAATTCTTTTTCTAAAATAAAACTAGCCCCACATTAGCTATCTATTTGCCAGTGAAAGTCCCGTCAAAATCAGTCCAGCCGTTTCGGAGATTAGCCAGAATAAACAGACAAACATAAAGACAGACAAAATTTTTTAAAATTGTGTTTTTTATATATACCGTATATAATTTCATATGCATTTAGTAAAAAGCTGTTATTTTGACATTAAACAGACACTTCAAATTTATTTATCTGTAAAATAGTATAGGTAGTAGGTACATTTTTGTGATCTGCCTGTACGTTTATGTTTACTATGAAGATGTATCTTGTTTTCTTAAATACTTAAAGTGAATTATATTCTTTTTTTGAGAAATAAATTCTTAAAACTTAAATAAAGAGTGTTTGTTGAGATTATCTCGTAGCAACTTACTCTATTCTACGAGACATTGGCAAAGTAAACTAAGTACTATACTTATTATTGTTTTATAGTAATCTATATTATACATTTATATTAAACTAGGGACTCATCCCCATTTTCACCCATATAAGGAATGATGTCCGGAATCAAAAGTATCCTATGTCCTTCCCAGGGTCTCAAACTATCTTCTTACCAAATTTCATCTAAATCGGTTCAGTAGATCCAGAGTTTACCCCCTACAACGTCACAAACTCACAAATTCACTAACTTTACCACTTTATAATATTAGTATAGAGAAGTACTCTCGCTTTGATCGGTTGCTTCTCTATGTATCTAACAGTAGCTTATATGTTAGATCAAGTCATACATATATATATATGTGTACTAAACATTACCATCCTTCCAGCCATTTTAGCGTGGATAAGCAACATACAAACTTTCGCATGTATAATAGTAATCTGATATCACATTAATATTAAAACTGCGTAAGTATATGAGATTGTTACTTCTTCACATACATGTACATACATACATATCATATACATATTCGTTGGCTTACTATTACAAGGTTCTATGTTAATTTTAATAAAGTTTAGTAATTTTTACATAGAACTTCGTTATTTTGTTATCGTAAAAAAAACAACATAGAACTATGTAAAATTGAATAGTTTGTAGTTTGAGTGCCGCTATCTAGTGGTTTGTTTTTGCAAAACTGTAGCTAATGACATATAGAACCTTGTAGCATTAATAACTAAATAAGTATTAAAATTGTAACATAGAACCTTGTAATTGTGACCCAACGAATTATGTAGGTATATATATTCTGGATTAGTACCTACATATGAGGTACGTATCTAAATTAAGAAACCAACAAACTTGAAATATCTAGTTTTATTTAATTATACTCTTATTATTGCTTATTCTATAAAAATACAAGGAGATAGATCTTAAATATAAGTTTTGGAAACACCGTGCTAACAATGCGGCGAGTTCCAAACTTCCCAGTCCAACGTGACTGCTAGCCAGTTGGCAGTATCGTGGCTAGTTCACAGATTACTTACTAACTTCACCATTTCAAAGTTACCTTCTTTATTCATCAACTGTTAAAAGTTATGGATTTGCTTGGAAATCTTGTTTATTTTTACTATTTACTACAAAGCAGGTCTGCACATATTTTTTATCTTTTACGTCATATTCCGTATAGACAAGTGCTGCCACTATCTAAGAAACTTTGATAGTTCGTATGAGGGACTACGTATAATACAGAATATAGAACTTCTTTTACCATTGTATAAAATAATTATTGCTAAAACCAGCAGTTGTTATTTCCAAAAACAGCCTATTAGGAAATCGAATCATCTAGAGATCTATGTCTATCTATCCGTATTAATATTATAAATATAAAAGTTTGTGAATATGGATGTTTGTTAATCTTTCACGCCAGAACATAGGTACAAAATTGAATTAGATCTTAAGAAACGTTTTTATTGTTTATTTAATATCCATACTTAATATAATACGTAAATGTGAAAGTTTGTTTGTTTGTTTGTTTGTTTGTTTGTTTGTTTGTTTGTTTGTTTGTTTGTTTGTTCTTCTTTCACATCGAAAGCGAGGATTGGTGTGATTTTTTGTGGAGATAGTTAGAGGGCTAAAGAGTGACATAGACTACTTTTTACCGCGGGAGGTTACTTCATTCACACGGTAAAACACGTTATATAATATACCTATAGTTATCTATTTTATACTAACCGGTAAAACGTCCCTAGGGACGAACCCGAGCGAAGCAAGGGTGAGTCGCTAGTTCATAATAAATTAACGCTTAAAAATTATTTAGTCACCACATCACAATACAGAAATTATTGTCAGTTAATAATAATTAAATTTCTGACTCTAATTCTAAGTTTTGCGACACTATTTACATTCTTGGAAACACTAATTTTACTCACAGTTTAAATTGACGAGCATCTTAAACTTCGCAAGTTTGTTAACGTCGGTTGACCTATTCAGAGCCAGAAGTTCAATTTTACTGTTAAAAGATAGGGTATTGTTATATTTAACTAATCTATAAGTACATATGATTAAATTCTGAGTCAAATTTGTAAATTAAATATTGATTGGAAAATCTTATTGAAGTGGTCATTATTATCGATACAAAGGCCGAACCTATAGTTTTTAGATTTTTTGTCTGTCTCTCTGTGTGAGAACGCATCACGAGAATACAGGACAGGATGGACAGATTTTTATGTTTGGCATGATGATAGCTGGTTATCCGGGTCAACATATAGGACTTTTTACGGCGAAATATCTCACCTCTGAGAAATCTATACTAATCGTTAAATATACCTACCTAGGGACAAACCCAAGCGGAGCGAGGGTGAGTCGCTAGTGTATAATTAAATTTTCAAGGTTTTTTCAACCAAAATATTTTCCTACAAATCCCTACAAAATATACTACAGATATGTTAGGACTTAATCCACACAGTCCTTTCAAGAACAATAAAACATTTTAAAAAAGACAATAAAGAATATCTAAAGTTAGTAGAATGATGTTTAAATTGTTAAAAAATATCTAAGCCTTATTACACACGTAGCTGAGCGCGGGTTCGAATCCCGCTCAGGACAAATAAACATTTGAATGATCTAAAAATTGCCATTCGTAAACCTATTTAACCTATTTATTATATATACTAATCTTTTAATAATACAATTTGATAGGAAAATTTATACAAATATAACAATGACTCTATTTATGCCCCATTACCATGATTTCACACGCCGTACATTGTATTTGAATAAACGGTAGCTATAAATATTAATTACTAAACAATCTAAATGATTTTCATTTGTAACAGTCCAATTAGAGAAAAACATAGGTAATTAAAATAAATGACCTTACATTGCACTGTGAAAGAGCTTTGGTTAATCCATATTACTATTATTTAGGTTTTTTGTTATATTTTTATATTATTATACCTAATATTTTTTAGGCTTTACGAAATAGATATTAGAATTGTTATCAATTATTTTTTTATTAAATAGTTCATTCAAGTACAATACAAAAAGGATTGAAATTTTTTGAATTGATTAAAAAAAAATAAACACCGTAAATGTGATAAGTACCAATATAAAGAAGAATAAAATTCTAAACTCACCTTGCTAAACGATAAACAAGGATCAACAAATATTATAATCAAATCTTAAATTTAGGTACTTACTTTAATATAATCTTCATAGTAAAAATGAAATGCTGTTCTTTGGTATGTGAATCACTTGAGAACAGCTAGACCGATGTGTGTTATTTTGATTTTAAAATATATGTAATAGATCGTTTAATATAAGTTTTACAAAAAAATATTCTTAAAAGAGTTGCCCGGGTAATTGGGAAAAAATGGGAAAACTGAAAGTGTTTTTTCCTATAGGATTTTGTATGAGCACACAATATTGAAATAAGAAATACGTCTGTTGGTCGCCTAATCATTAATACACTTATTTAAAGGTTTATATATAATACCTATGTACATACATATTCGACTGTACCACGTGGGTACATTTCCCATTCAAGTATATAGATCACAAAACGTCCCATGAACGTTTTGCAAGTTGCCAGCAAAATATAATTATACCATGGCAAACGGAGCATGCGACAATCTTGTCACATTAAGCGCCAGATAGAGACAAATAGAGCGGAAAATCGACGGTAAGAGGGAGATAAACAGCAGTTTCTTTGTTACGTCGCTAGGAATTTTAATGATTAAGCACTCAGTCTATGTTTCAAAGTCTTTGTTTTGCAAGATACGTTCGTGGTTGGCATATCATAGCGAAGTGGGATATAGGTTTGTTAATTAATTTTCATCTTATATTTGTTTAAATATAACTATTAATTGAATGATAATTTCTTTAATTTTAATTGATTATTTGTTTTTCGAAATATCATATCAATAAGGGCTTGCACTGATATGTTTAATTTAAATGTTTTAAAATTGTTAAATGAACGCCAATGATGTTTGTTTACTAAACATATTGTTTCAAACCTTAAAACAATTTAGCAATGGCGTAAGTGGTCTTATGTCTGTCCAGCTTAAT